CGTACCGACCTGGCACCAGGTTCAGGTCAACAACTGTCAGACGGCACCAAGTTAAGGTAGAAGTTTCTCGACCAAAATGCGCGCGGGCATTGGAACAGCGTGACGGGTTGAAGTGTTGTAGGTTAGTGTCTCGAAGAGTTACACATGCTGGCTATTGTGTGTTTCGCAACATTTTCTATGGCACGTCTCTACTGGGAATTGACCTTTCGCAAAGTCACGCCCCTAAATGCCCGTTGTCCAATCATATTCGATCACGTGCGCGGCTCCCTGTGGGACAAGCTTAGCGTTCAAATTCATTGCGAAAATGGTGAAGCGTTGTGCTTATGGTCTTTGGAAATCGGATAGCAGATATCCCATAAGCTTAGAGGGGGGGGGTGATATTTTACCCGTTTCCTAAACCCAAAACCCGAGAGGAGAGATGCCGCCAGTGGATAAAGAAATGCGGCAGGCCCCATGCCCAGCTGAATATGGCGAATATCAACAAACACAAATACGTTTGCTCCAAGGTAAATACGTGCTAATGTAGCTAGCTAGCTAGCAAAGATTACATTCACAAATTAACTAACTAATTTAATTAACTAATTTCACTAACTAACGTTAGCTAAAGTCACACGATTACAGCTGTAAGCTGTGTGCTTCTAGGTCGTTTTGACCATGTATATCACTTGATGCATAATAATGTCTGAACAGCTGAGCTCCGTTATTAGTCTACCTGTGGTCAAAGTACAAACAAGAAAGCCAACAGGCAATCATTCATTTATATTTTGCTTTAATCTTTGTAGCATTTTGTTAATGGAAAGCCTACTGCCGACTTCCCTAATCCTGCTGCACAAGTGGGCACCCCGACCCCCACAAAGGAACAACAAGGTGGATGCAGAAAGCCACCAAGGAAACGGTAGTTAACTTTAGACAAACTACAACATTTAATGCCTCTTGTGATTGTATTGTTTTATTCCAAAATAATAATAATAATTCCGTCGAATTTGACATACAGCTCATGTGGTTTTTCACTCTTGCACTGCGACCTGTATGCAAGTGCCTCTATTGATGTTGTGCCTCCCTCTTTTCTAATGTTTATACTGTGGATATAACCCTCCATAGCGTATTGTAGCCCCTTTTGTCGGGACCTGGAGGATATTGCTGCGTTATTGCTCCAAAATGAGTCTGTTAAGGCGACTCCGACGTTACGGAGACCCTCCATTATGGCTTTGTTTAACGCATCTGGCTCTCAGCTTGTCGGACTAGCAACAGTAACCAAGGGGGGGCGTGGCTTTGCGAATGGTCGATTGATTTGGATATATCTGCTACAAACTAACATTACCCATAACCCAAAAGATGTATTCCTCACAATAAAGGCTACAGAATCACAAGGTCAATACATGTGGATTTAAATCTTCGACCCTCTCAACATCACCATATATATAAATAGTAATCATAAATAGTAATCATTTACTTGATAATTAAATTCAGAAAGGAGATAAACAGCCTTGTACAATCACTATTCACATCCTACGTGCTGCCTGCCCGGACACATCCAGCTGTAGAAATACAATCATACACTCTGATTGATTTCCAAACAAGCCTTTAATGGATGTCTGCCAATACACTAATGCAGTATAAACATTATGGCAGCTCCACGGTGAATGCACAGCTCGATACAGAGGAGCATTGATGGTGTCTCTGCAGAGTGAAGAGCCTCACATCAGCACTACATCATTAAGGATTGACCTCTGACCTCTGAGCTGCTGACCAGGCATGCCTCCCCCTTTCCTCCCTCTTTTATCCTCATTAACTCCACGTTCCTCCCTTCACATCTCCTCGTTATGAGAGACAAACAGCCGCCAGCCCTCTCGCACTCACATGAGAAGCAAACGGTCCGCTTGTTCTGGTTTGCATTCCTGTTTTCAACCGTCATAATCGAGCCTGAAGGCAGCATCTTCCTGGTCCCCTCCACAAAAAGCCACTGTGATATTTCCATTGGCTTTTATAATCTCAACGTTTGTGATACTTTGTCTATAAAGGTTGTTCACCAGTGTTGTGTTTACTGACGTATTTGACGTAGTAGAAACAAAATCTCTTCAGCTTGTGCTAACAACCAAAAACACATTCAGAACACCATTGAAGAGGGAAAAGGAAGCGATAAGTGCTTACTCTTATTAATCTTATTTTTACATTACATGTGACTTGTTAGACGCTTTTATCCAAAGCGACTTACATACTCAATACTGTGGACAATCCCCACAGGAGCAATTTGGGGTGAAGTGTCTCAGGGACACAACGACATGCTGACTGCAGTGGGGTTTGAACCTGTGACCCCCCTGTTCCCAACACCAACGCACAACCCACTGCACCACACGCCTCCCACATTATTTCAGGGTTTTGTTACAAGAAATATGGCATGGATGGTAGAGGGCAGGTTTCGTGTCCAGGTTAGCGTTAGCATGCTAAAGCAGCCAGTGTGGTCTCATTGACAGCTTGTAATCATGGTTGATGCTAACAGATAAAGATGCTGCCTCCCCGCAACAACAGTCTCTTTTGACCTCCCCCTGTTTTACGGATTCCTCTTCAGCAACAACCTCCTCACTTTGTATCTAAACAGCGCTGATTATGGGTCAGTACCGTTTAGGAAAGAACACTTCTCCATCTAAATATCAAAAGCAAACAGAGTGGCTAAAATTACCTTAGATATTCATGCTTCGTACAGCACGGTTTATTTAGCTGTGCGTGTCAATATGACTCTTAAAAAACACTTTTAAACCTTAATCCAACATCACGCCTCTCCTTACTGAATGGTTCTTATTGAAGCAGGGTAAACACAGCAGATATCCTGGAATACTTTTCCTGTTTACATTTCCCTGTTTATTTTTGCAACACGTGTCTTTAAATAGCTGAGAGAGAGAGAGAGAGAGAGAGAGAGAGTATTATCACACTCAGAAACCAAAAACCCCGCTGTAAGCGAGGCTCAAACCGAGGGAGGATGCAACCACGTGTAATTACTGACACACAGTTGCATCAGCAGAACATACACACACTCATGCACACACTGGAGGGAAGCCAAATGCTGCTGAACGGATATCAGACCAGGAAACAATAACAAGAAACGGCTAAGTCTTGTGATATTCTATTTTTGTTCTATTTACAGCAAATCCCATGCCTTTACCATTTGTGTGTGTGTGCGTGTGGCCTGATATTTTCTTACTCTTTACCACAGAGCTCCATTGTTAGATTACATCGTTGAGCCTCAGTGTGGACTTCCTCCTTTATTACCATGAACACACCCGGCAGTTTATTTTGACTCAACCACACACACACACACACACAGCAATGATGATATTGCTATTCGTATTACAGTGTGTTCTATCTTCTTCTGTATATGTCATACAGTGTATTTTAAAAGAAAACAAGGTCTCATCATTTATCTTCAGTGCGGCTGTCTCCATTATTTTAAACGTGCTAAAGGAGAACAAACATTAGACTGTGTGTGTGTGTGTGTGTGTGTGTGTGTGTGTGTGTGTGTGTGTGTGTGTGTGTGTGTGTGTGTGTGTGTGTGTGTGTGTGTCTGTGTGTGTGTGTGTGTGTGTGTGTGTGTAAGAGGCTGTAGCGTCGGAAGTTTGGGCAGCACTCTTGATCGATTGGAAGTTTTTTTTTTTTTTTCGACAGGTGCTTCTGCCACTACCACTCGCTTCTGATGGACGTCGATGGTGTGTG